GTTCCAATCCCCAGTTGATTTTGTTTCTTCCCCCACCCCCACACATAGTTTAATTTGTAACATTTTAGAGAAGATTAATTGGTTCTCAATAACAGTGAAGTCCAGAGATGCTTTAAGACCCTTTCCCCAACCCTGCAGCAGGTACAGCAGCACCAAGGGCCGATCACCTCTTCTTGAAGCCGTACTTCTTGCGCTCGTAAAAGAGATCTGTCTTGGAACTGCCCAGATTGACTATCTTAGGGCAGCCATCCCTCTGGAAACATGCAGAGAGAAAAGGACATGGTTAGAGCAGAACAGGCTCGAGTGGGGTATGAAGAGTGACCACTATCTTCCACCCCAAAAGACACCTCCTGGAAACACCCATGCAGGAACACTTCCCTTCTACTCCATTGGCTCCAGCCATCAAAACTGAGAAAGTGGAGGGGAGGAGGGAAGCCTTGCTAACACTAACTAGGGCATTCTCTTCCTCAGGGGAGCATGGAGAACAGTTTGAATAACATAATCACTTTAATGAAAGAGAAGTATAGTGCCCCGAGACTGGATCCTTCTAAGCTGACTTATGACATGACTTATGGGGGCAAGGGGAACAACCTTTCCCCACCCTGAGTTAAGAGGAACCTACTTCCATTAGGTGTCAACACATATTCCTTGTGCCCTCAGTTCCTGCAGCCAAAGCAATTCCCAGATTCCCCACACTTTAGACACATCAGAATAGAACTTGATTCACTGTAAAGGTCACATGCCCATTTTGCAGGTACAAGGGTACTCATAGCAAGCGTACGTGGGGAGGCCTCCATATCCCAGTCCTACCAGCTGGAGGGAAAGCCAGACGTAAGTGGAGCAAGTTAGGGAGAATAAATCAAGGGTGTAGCTGTGAGTTATGGGAGATGGAAAAATTTAAATACAAATCAGAACATGAGCCAAAACCCTCCCTGATAATGGGAGATGGGACATATGCATGTGCACGCCAGAGAACGTTTGCCCATGGGTCACTCAGCCTGGCATCTGTGCGCCTCTTGAGGGCAAAATGCTGCTGCTGGAGTTGGCATCTGTGCTGTGCTGAGGGGCCCAGTGGGCATTGGCACACGTGTCCCTGGTTGTTGCGTAATCCTGAGTGGATTAGACGAGAAAGCCTTTGGGCAGGTGTCATCCACTGCAGAGACCGCACCCAAGCTGCGGCACCAAAACTTGCTGTTATGGGGGAGAAAAGAAGAGGTGGGATGGGCAGGATAGCAGAGATAGAAGAGGGGAAAAAATTAAATCATTCTCTCCTCTCCCTTCCCACCACACCCAAATATATGCCTACACCAACCAGCCTCTAGCTCTTGTCTTGTGGTTTCACTTTGAACCTCCAAGGTGGGGCCCTTCCAAACCTTCCCTCCCACAATTTAGGGCATCTGTGATAAACCTGGCAGCTTCATTACAGGTGTCTGTTCATTCCTCCACCCCCTCAAAAGGATTTGGCACATGCTCATACTTCTATCCCCAAGAAAGAAACCCTCCCTGCAACCCACAGCTTGCCAGGATGACATGGCATGACCCTGGCCTGTAGCCCCAAATGGGGCATGTGTGGAACCAGAGCCCCCCACGAAACAGGAACCAGGCACCTTTGCCCCTTTACATGAAGGATGTTCCCTCCAGCCCATCTCATCCATTTTTTGCTTTCTTGCTTCACATTCTAATGGAAGTACGTTCCTCTTGACTCTGTCTGGGGCTGAATGTAGAGCATTTGGGAAAGTAAGATTAACTCATTTGACTAAACTAAGGGAGTGTTAAAGCTTTAGACACAGAGCTCTGTCTGCAGAAGCAGTACTGTGGTCCTGATCATTCGTGTTCATTTAAAAAAAAACCCTCAAGACACTTTTCCACAGGAAATGGGTGTCCACCTTTAATCACTGCATTCTGTCTCTAAGTTCCACCTGCTGTTTCATTTCATTCATTCACATCCTGCTCTAACTGGATGTAGTGCTGCTGTACACGGTTATACTGCCATGTTTCACCTCAAAGGTGGCTGTGTTCCTGTGTGCAGAGATCATTCTCACACCACTGTCATTAAGCACTATAGGACCCTGCTACAGAAACATAAGGGAACAGGACCACTAGAAAGAGGCCACTTCTAGGTTGGAATACGTTTACCAACAGTACATAACACCCCACAGCAGTGAAAAATTCATATCCAAATAAAATGGGAAAGGGAGTTTTAGGTCTGTAGAGTGCAATTACCGGAGTTGGAATTTGGTCAGGACACCAGAGCCATAACCCATATTCTTATGAACCCCCCCCACAGGATTTTAATGGCTACAAGTGGCCCATGACTTTTGTTTTTCGTCTAACTCAGAGGAAAACACCAGCAGTACTGGATGTCCTACAGCACCACACATACACAGGGCCATTGATTCAGTGTTGACTGGAGTAGTCACATGCTTTTTGCAGCATTTGAGAATTTCTAAGCTAGTGACCTGACCCTGATAAAGCTTAGCTTGTGAGACCTAGTAAGATAACATCTTAAGTGGTAATGTTACAGGCAATGTATGGATGAAGTGAATCACATACATGCAGTTTGTAAACTATTTTTCAGTCCTGTGGGATGAAAGGCACGAGAGAAATATCACAGGGCTTATTTGTAGATCTCACAGCATTTTACAAAGGTGGGTAAGCACCACTATCCCCAGATGCATAAAAGAGAGGTGAAGTGACTTCCTCGTGGTAACATAGCAAGCTAGTGGCAGAGTTGGTACTAGAGCTCAGGTGTCCCAAGTCGCAGCTCCATGCTCATTCCACAAGACCACAGCTGCCTTTAAAGATAAGCATGACTGTTAAATAAAAATCACATCTGTTCAACAAGAGACAGAAAGACAACCTTGAGGCACTGTGTCCAACTTACATCTTTCTCCTGGATGGTGCACTCCTTGCAGTAATAGGCATCAGAGACTCCTGGACCTCCGCAGATCACACAGCGGCCTTGGTACGACCCATAGTTACACTCGTCACATATGCGCACAAGTGTGCAGGGTCGCACATATGAGTCACAGATCACGCATTTACCATCACCTACAAATAGAGCACAGTCCTTAGCTAAAGAGTTTCCTTCTCCACCATTCCCACCGAGAGGGGATAGCTCCCTATCCAAACAAGTCCCCCATACACTCTAAAATAGTGGGACTGAGCTTGGAAATTCCTTCTCGCTGACATATGAAAGCCATTTTATTTCTCTGAAGTGAATGAGCAAGTAGAAGAGCCAGTATCTTGCAAAACTTCATTTTCGAGTCTTTTTGCTTTGCAATCAGAATCAGAGATGAGGGCCAGCACTCTGCTCAGCCAGCATTTTACAAAACTCTTCATTACATCATCCCACCACTGTGTCGTTAAACTTTCTGACGAAATTTAGCACTTGTGAGAATTTGCTGAACTGACAGCACCAGACAGTCTTTTAACTACAGGAGAGGTAGAATATGGGCAGCAGCAGTGCAAGCTTCTCAAACACCACCACATAAACATGAGACTAGAGTACTACCTCCAAAGGATGAAAAGGGAGGTTCAGTCTTCATGATCCTTGACTTCTGAGAGGGCCAAAAAGAGGGCGAATTTGTGTAGACAGCCACAACAATTTCTGTGATGTGGAAACCTCACAAAGAATTGAATGAAACCTAACAATTCATTTCACAGATGCCATATAGTCATCAGATGCCAGTGACAGTCTGTAGTGTCCTGGACTATATCCAAATCAATGACCAAGAGCTGAAAGGTTCATATCCTATTACCAGTCCCCTTGAGTCATCTAATCCCTACCGTCACTAAGGATTCTTATCTCCATAGTGATGAGGCTTCAACTACTTCCTGTGGAATGTATTCCACTGACCATATACTCGTAAAACGCTTCCCTAATGTCAGACTAAGGGCTTGGCTACACTTGCAGATGTAGAGCGTTGGGAATTAAATCAGCCTTTGGAGACCGCAGCAGGGAAAACGCTGCCATGTGTTTACACTGTCAGCTGCAAGCACACGGGCATGGCCACATTAGCAGCTCTTACAACGCCACAAAGAGCAGTGCATTGTGGATCTATACCAGTGTGCAAATGGCTGCAATGTGCTTCAAATTGGGGGTGGTGGTGTGTGACAGGGAGTGTGTTGTGTGTATGTGGGGGGAGAGACAGAGTGTTTTAGGGGGCAGAGAGTGTGTCAGCATGCTGTCTTGTAAGTTCAGAGAGCAGCAGACCTCCCCCTCCCCCGCCACACACACACACACACACACACACACACACACACACACACACACACACACACACACACACACACACACACACACACACAC